CTGTGTTAATTGGTTTCCCTTTTCTTTGTTGAAGAGGGTCTGTGCAATCCTTCTGCCTAGTCCGCCATCTTGCCCCGCCTCTCCTAACATTTTTCTTTTGAATCATAACATGTGTATTCTTTAAAAAAAAAAAAGAGGTGGGGGTAATATGGCTAGAGAGAATTTTTTCCAGCTTAACCTGGATTCTCTTTCTTCCCTATCAAAGATAGAGGCACTCACTGAGCCATCATGAGTGAGCGTCTAGTTTTTTAAAATCACCACGGGAGATTGGTGATGAAGCCCTTGACTTCTGTATCTTCCTATCCTTTGTTTCCCTCTCTGCCCTGAAGAGAAGCTAGTAAATGCTTTTTGTAATTTTTATTTTATTTATTTATTGTAATTTTATAGTCACCTAATTATGAGAGATCCTGGTGAAGCCCTGATATGATCAAAGTGTTGTCCAGGTCTATAGAAAGGACATGAGCCAATCTTTTATTTAGGTTTGCACTATAATTACCTTGTTATTTTGGAAGGCATAAGTTGTCTGTGATTGTTACATTGAGATTATCCTGTTTTCCTTTGCTAAAATGTGACCTGCTTTTTTCTTTGGTCTGGTAGCTACAATAAGGTATAACTAGGAACACTGCTAGAGTTCTGTGCTTTTCTCACAGTTTTGTAACTTTAAACCCTGTCTCTTTGCTTAGTTGCCCTCCTCCTTTCTCCCCATTTAATTTGATAGGTTCCAGTAAGGAAAACAAGTAAAAAGTGCATTCAGACACAAAACCATCGTAATATTTAAAGGTATTATTCTCAGGTTACCATCCAGCCCCTGTAATTTACAGCCAAATTTAATTTCCAGGTGACCGCAAAAGCCATGCAATATAAGCTCTGGGAAGGACTAATTACTAGTAAAACAGGTGGGCCAAATGGCTCCAGAAATTGGTAATGGAGATTTAGACTCAATCCTAGGAGGGGGTTTACTAATCCTACTGTTCTGAAAACTTCTCACGTCCTGTGGGAAGTTTACAGATTAATTCACACTGCCACGTTCACTTTGCCCAAAACTAGGGGTACCTGGCGCTTCCTTTGTTAGGCAGAGCAGGATACTTGAGCTTTAAAGGAAGAGTCACCTAGGGACCCATTCAGAAAAAGCATTAACTCTGCCACCTATGGCATTTGAATGCTTTTCAGGTTCCCCCTCTGATCTTAATTGCTACAAATCCCAGATGTATCTTACAAATGCTTTTAGCCAAAAGAACATTGGTGAAGAAAGAAATGAAAAATACCTCTGTTTTTCTATTTGTTCAGCAGCAGTACCCTGCTTGGATACAACTTGCCTGGACACAGTGTACTTAAGGCGTTTCTCTGCATGTTAAAAATATTAAGAGGGAAAAATAAATGCCCCTGAATTGAACTTTCAACTGTACGCATACAGGGGAAAATAATTTGCCAACTGTCAGCTCCAGGCTGCAAATCACTTTCTCAGCAGGAAAGAAAATTAAATCTGTCATTTTAAAAAAGTGTTTTTTATCTCAGGGTGGGTTGGGGAGCAAGTAAGGAATAAACACTTGGAGAGAAATGTATTGAATTTGCACAGTTTGAAATGAAAGATTGAAAACCTTTTTATATACACTGGCCAATTCAGTACTTTTAGCAGCAGTGCAGATTCAGTGGGAAATTTGGCAACATTTAGGCTCTTGGTTGATAAAGTTCACTTAGGCTTTTCCTTTGTCAGAACCACTTGGAGCCACGTTTCCACCCTAGTGCTATAGCTGAGGTGTTTGCTTGTTTTATTTGAATGTCTTGAATTTCAGCCAGATGATAAGTTACCTAGGCATGGCATTATACTCAGCTGTCCTGTTGTTAGTTGCTCTCAGGTCGATTCTAATACATGGTGACCCTCTGTTCTTCCTTTGCAGGCATCTTTTTTTGTTGTGTACAATATGGTGACAACAGAGGTGATTGCTGTGTTTGAGAATACGTCAGATGAGCTTTTGGAACTCTTTGAGAACTTCTGTGACCTCTTCCGTAATGCTACCCTGCACAGTGAAGTACAGTTCCCTTGCTCAGCTTCCAGCAACAATTTTGCAAGGCAGATCCAACGCCGGTAAGCTGTTCCACCAGACTTAATAGGCTTAATTTTTCTGTAGAAAAATTGTTGGCATTAGGCTAATAGTCGTTTCCTCCAGGAAACCTTCCCTTATTCTTTCTGTCCACTCAGACTTGGTTAGGTCTGCCTGTTTTAACCTCTTGTGTCATTCTGAGTGTCTCTTTTCTCTCCTTTCAGCACTTGTGGGATTACTTGTGTATTGTCTGTGATTCCTCTTAGATTTTATATGAGCTGCAGAAAGATGGACAGTGTCTTTGTTGAACACTGTCAAGGATTTAAATATTTGTTGAATTGATAAGGAAATCATTTTAGAACTTTTGGTTAAACATGGTCTGTTGAACAAATGCATTTATCTTTGCTCCATCCTAAAATCTATTAAAATGACAGTAAAGAATAAGAGGTATAAATCTATGAGAACAAAGAATGAGACAAGAAATGATTGGAGACAGGTGACATCAGCACACATTTGGAAGCTGAAAAGCCAATGGATGAAGGATAACTGACTTAGCATAACTCATAGAGCAGAAGTTAGGCCTGCAGTGCTCAGTTACCAAGAAATAAACCTGACTAAACATTGATTTGGGAGGTCTGATAGCTTAGTGCCTAAGGCACTTGACTGCTAATCAGAAGACTGGCGGTTCAAACCCACCAGCCACTCCTTGGAAGGAAGATAGGGCAAACTACTTCCGTAGTGATACTGCTTCAGAAACCCAAGGAGGGGTCACTATGAGTCGGGTCCGATTTGACGGCATATAACATAACAAAACATTGATCTATGGGTGGATGGGTGGGGTGGACAGGCTGAACTATTAGGTATGTCTGTGCAGAGGGAAGTGTGCCAATGACCATGTATAGGCTTGTCAGACAATGTTTCTACAAGTGTATTTGTATGTTCTATAAGAATTCCCAACTCTTCTTCGGTCTTCCTTATTCATTGTCCAGCTCTCACATGCATACCAGGCGATTGGAAATATCATGGCTTGTGTCAGGCGCACCTTAGTCCTCAATGAGATATCCTTGCTCCTCAGCACTTGAAACAGTTCCTTCGCAGTTGCCTTTCCCAATGTTTCCCAGTGAGTTGTGGTGCTGGCGGAGAATGCTGAAAGTACCATGGACTGCTAAAAGAACTAACAGATCTGTCCTGGAGGAAGTGCAGCCAGAATGCTCCTTGGAAGCAAGAATGGCCAGACTTCGTCTCACCTATTTTGGTCATGTTGTAAGAAGGGACCATTCCCTGGAGAAGGATGTCATGCTTGGTAGGGTGAAGGGTCGACGAAAGAGGGGGAGGCCTTCAACGAGATGGATTGATATGGTGGCTGCGATGATGGGATCAAGTATAGCGGGGATTGTGGGGCTGGTGCGGGATCGGGCGGTGTTTCGTTCTGCTGTGCATGGGGTCGCTATGAGTCGGAAATGACTCGACGGCACTTAACAACAACAACAACAATAAGAATTCCCAGGTATATAATAGAGCTGACAAGAGATAAGGTTGTAGTCACTTCTTGGCCACAGCCAGCTACCCAGAGGGTTGGACCGGTGGGCTCGGACCATAGTTGCAGGGGACATCAAGCTCAGCTGGCATAACAGACTACACAAAAACACTGTTCCACGTCCTACTTTGGCGAATAGCAACTAGGACCATTAAAGCTTGCAGGTGGCCATCTAGTTGCAATGATGGCTCTTTCCTTGTCCAGAGCAAAGAAGAATGGAGAAAGCCAAAGACACATGGAAACAATTAGTCCAAGCAACTGGTGTACCATGCAATCCTCAGCCTATACGAGTATGAGACCAGAAGAACTAGATGGTGCCTGGCTACCACTGTTAACCACTCAGAGGAGATCTATGTAGGAGATCCTGGATAGAGGGGAAGAACAATGTGGAACAAAACTTAAAACCAGGTTTGGTGGTCTAATAGAGCCTGGTGGAACCCCTGAGACTAGCTGCCCTTCAGGTCTGGAATTGAACCCACTCCTGTGGCTTCCAGCCAAACAAATGACAGGCATATGAACTGAACATTTACATTAGCTAGATAGACTCCTTGGAGCGATAAATTGTGGGAGAGTAGAAGGGCTGTGTATACACAGGGAGACAGCTGGTGGGGGGCAGGAATACATGGAGGGAAGGACACAGGGAAGAGGTAACACTATGGAGAGGAAGTGGGAGGGGAGCTATTGCATTGTGAGAAATTGCAGTCAATGTCATGAGACAAAGTGTATGTGAGCTGCTGTATGGAAAGTGAATTTGGTCTGTAAACTTTCACCTAAATCACAATAAAAATTAAAAGAAAGGAGGGGGAGGGAAAGATGGGGAGAAAAAGAGAGAAGGAGAGAAAGGAAGAGAGAAAGAAGGAAGAAAGAAGCCTGACTTTCATTACAGGACTCTGTAAAGGGTCAGGAAATTGGAGGCATTATGTACCGCTGAGAGCTGGGTATGAGGTAGTCTGAAATCAGGAAGATTGGGTGAAGTTCTTAAAAGGATCAGTGAGATCTTATAGATCCCTTCCCTTAGCCTACACTGCCAGATGACAGTTTCTTCCCCCACCTCAGCAGAAGGCTGGAGGTTTACTCAGGTTTATCAGTTCATAGCTGAGAGCAGGATGAGGAATGTCATAGTAAAAACAGAGAATTAAGTGAAAGTTGACATACTGAAGGGTGAGATTCCTGTCCCCCTTACCACATTCTAAGATCCAGGCCTATACTCCCCCATATATAAGAGTAGTGATTTTTCCCTAAGGAAGCTGATAATTCAAAGAGACTTTCAAAGGAACATCCCTTTGCAAAACACCTAGGTTATTCTAAATTGATACCCATCAGTCAATAAAGTCCTATAAACCAAGGCTTCTACTAATCATCTTGTTGTTGTTATTTTTATGTGCCGTCGAGTGAGACACGCCTCATAGCGACGCCTTCTTGGGTTTCCAAGGTGGTATCACTACGGAAGTAGATTGCCTAACCTTCCTTCCGAGGAGTGGCTGGTGGGTTTGAACCACCAGCCTTCTGGTTAGCAGTCAAGTGCCTTAGGCACTACGGTACCAGAACTTTTAGTACATTATTATGAAATAGTTGATTGTTGTCAGGTGCCGTCGAATTGTTTCCAACCCATAGCGACCCTATGCCCAGCAGAACAAACCACTGGCTGGTCCTGTGCCAGCTTCATGATCCTTGCTGTACTTGGGCCCATCATCGGAGCCACTGTGTCAGTCCATCTCGTTGAGGGCCTTCCCCTCCATTGTCGACCCTCTACCTTACCAAGCATGACATCCTTCTCCAGTGAATGGACCCTTCGGACAACATGACCTGGCAACTCTGCAGGAAGGTCCTTTTCTCTTTTGAGCTTCTGCTCTTGGGCAGTCTTCATGTGGCTGGACATCTCTCTTCTTGCATCTCTTCTTCTCTCTGCTTGCTTGTTTAATCTCTTTTATATCTCAGAAGAGTTTGATATGAGATATACCTTTCATTAATCCTGTCTCATTAACATAACAAATAAGATTATAACCACAGGCGTAGAGTTTAGGATTTACAACATTTATTTTCAGAGAACACACTTCAGTCCATAGCAGGTGATGTATTTTATTGACCAACATATCGTACTTTGCTGCATAGAAAATATAATGTAGATAAAAATTGAAATTATTTTTTGTTTCTTGTGATCAAATAGTTCTAAATGCTCAATTTTACTGTCTCTTGGTAAGGTCTTTTGGGAAAGTAAATGAAAATGAGTTCTTTATGGTTCAGAATAAATATTTAAGTAAAAAAATAGAAACCAAGGATTGCAAATCGTTTAAGGAAAGTTTTTTATCCTGAGAAACTGATATCAAAACAAAACCAACAGAATAAAGAGTAAGGAAACAATATTGCATTCATTCAAATAATAGGCAGCTGTGAAAACTGGAACATTCCTAGACAATTAGATATTTTTGGACATTTAAAATGTTAGATACAATTGAGGAATTCTCTAAGAAAGTAGAATAAAAAGTGAAAGAAAGTGGAAGCAAAATAATAAGAAAATTAGATTAGGTCAGCAGGTCCAACAATATCTGGCTAATTTTAGCAGGAACAACAGAGATAATGGAGAGGAAATTATCAAAGAAATAATGGGCAGTTTTCTAGTACTGAAGGACATAAATTTCCAGGTTGGAAGGATCATCCAGTAGTATACTGAAGCTGGCTTGTACTAACAAGAGCTTGTTCTTCAATTTTCAATAATATTGCAAGCTGATTGTTAAATAAAGACATTATTAAAAATTAAGTTCTATAAATTTATAATCAAATAACTTATATTAAAAACAGATAGTAAATACTCAACACACATATATCCTAATTATTTTTTTATTACATTTTACTATTATTTATGCTCTTAAGGTTATTTTATCTATAATGGGAGCTCCGGTAGCATAGTGCCTAAGGCACTTGACTGCTAACCAGAAGGCTGGTGGTTCAAACCCACCAGCCACTCCTCAGAAGGAAGATGGGCAACCTACTTCTGTAGTGATACTGCCTCAGAAACCCAAGGAGGGGTACAACTCGACAGCACACAACAACAACATTTGGTGAATATACTGTATGATGATGTGCTGCAGCTTATCTCCTGACTACTTGATGTTCAGTGATACCACATTAGTAGTTTGAAATTGGCCACAGTAGAAGTATTTATATCATGGCAGTTGGTAAGTGCTATAAATCATGCCTTTGTGGTTGTTGTTACTCCTAGAGAAATGATCATTAAGCCTTTACCTGGACATAATTAGATCCATCAATTACCCATGTACCATGATTGAAAAAAGACCTGTACTGAGGAATATATCATCATGAAATTTTGGAACACTGGGAATAAAGAGAATAAAGAGAAAATTGAAAATCTTTTGGAAGGAAAATACATTTTCACATACAAAAAATAAGGCTTCAGAATTAAATCAGACTTAACAGTAGCAACACTGACAGCTAGAAACCATTGGAGTCGTGCCCTCAGACTTCTCTGGGGGAAAAAATTATTTTAAATTTAGAATTCTATATCCAAATAAAGGGGTAGAGCAAAGATATTTTTTAGACAAAGAAGGTACCAAAAAAATACCTCCCATGTATTTTCTGTAAGGAAGCCTCTGGAAGACTTACTTCACCAATAAATCAAGAAAGAATCCAACACTGGAGAAAGGCAAAGAGAATTGGGAGGATGATCGTAAAGGAGGGAGGTTTCAGGATGACAGACCACCAGTCAAACTGGATGGAAGCAGGAGTGTGGAGAATTCCAAGAAAGATCATCCAAGGACAAAATAAAATTGTTAAACTAGCTGGTGGTGTGAGTGTATTAAGATTGTCAGTTCCGTTTTAGTAGCACTCTCAGGGTAGGCCTCACTGAGAATGTGATACTTGAGCAAAGCTTTTGAAAGAGATCGGAGAGCAAGCCTAGTGGACATCAGGGGGAAGAATATATCAGATGAAAAGAACAGGAGATGTAAAGGCCCTGAGGTGGGAGAGTCTCTCCTGTGCTTGAGGAATATCAAGGAGGCCACGGTGTCTGGGTTGGCGTGAGCAAGGGGCAGAGTAGTAGGAGATGTGAGCAGAGACAGATCTGGAGGCCGGATGCTTAGGATCCTGGGGGCTGTTCTAAGGCTTTTGGCTACAGCTGTAGATGAGATATGAAGCAGGGTAGTGTTGGAGCAGAGAAATGACATGGTCTGATGTATATTTTAACAGGTTTACTCTGGCCGCTATATTAGGAATAAACTGTAGGAGCTAGGGTGGAAGCAGGGGTACCAGTTATAAGGTTATTGGAATTATTCAATAAGTAAAATTGCAGTCTGTTTCCTGCCACTGACATATCCTAAACACCTAGAAGAATACCTGGCATATAAAAACAAACCAAACTCACAGCCATCGAGTCTGATCCGACTTATAGTGACCCCTCCTTGGGATTCTGAGGCAGTATCTCTATGGAAGTAGATTGCCCAATCTTCCTTCTGAGGAGTGGCTGGTGGGTTTGAACCTCCAGCCTTCTAGTTAGCAGTCAGATGCCTTGGGCATTACACCACCAGAGCTCCTACCTGGCATATAGTGAATTAAAAAAAAAAAAATCACTTGCTCTTAAGTTGATTGAGACTCATGGCAACTCCATATGTGTCAGAGTAGAACTGTGCTCCAAAGGTTTTTCTTCATTTTTATACACTGTGCCTTTCTTTCTTTCTACCTAAGTGATTCAATGACTAGTTGATCGTAGATATTCCTGGTTTGGTTCAGAGTTTTCAAATACTATATGTGACCAAACAAATTAACACACTTTTCCAAAACTTGACAGACACATAAGTTATACTTTACAGGATGTTCTGATACACGTAAGTTTCACACAGCTCTTACCCTTACAGGGGAAGAGGTCCCTGGGTTTGAACATGCCAGGACCTCCCCAGACATTCGTACTTTGAACCCAGGATGCCAAGTGGATACTGGCTGAATATTAAGTTTTATGTATAGGAATATCATCTGTGTATATTAGCCCAGTTTGACCATTGTCTTTTCTACCTTGGCAAATATGAGCCACAGATTTGGGACCTGGGATGTTGCCTCCCCAGTGATGGTGGGTCTCGTCATATCTGTAGTTGTAATTGGTCTTGATCACTTTCACCAGCTTAGCCAGAGCTCCTTTGTCTTCTGAGTTCACCTGTATGAAGATGATGGTGGTGCATGTCTTTCTATGGACTAGCTGTCCCAGTCTGGCCTTCCCCTTGATGATGCAATAGGGAACTCACATTTTACAACAAGGCAGGCAGGAGGACCATCAGGTCAATGGGATCCCTACCATGTTCAGTCACCACCAGCTGGGCCTTCTTGTTTTTCATCAAGGTTGTGACAGTATTAACCCCAGAAGGTCTCTTAGTGGAATATCCCCTTTGCCAGCAGCTTTCTTCTCATCCTGAGCCAGCAATCTCTGCTTCTTCTCTTGCTTTGTCTCTGGTCTCTTCTTGTGGGCCAGCTTCTGTAGTTGAATAGCTATCTGGTACTTTAAGGCTTGGATGAACAAGTTAATGGTGTGTGTAGGGGATACTTTCAGCTGCTTATAAAGGATACACTTTTGCCGCTGCAGCTGCATGTAGGAGGGGCATTTCACAAAGCAGGTGAGGTCTTTTTGGGTTGGATGTCCAGTCTGATGCCAGAATTTTGAGGCTTTTTCTCAAACGGGATACCATCTTCTTGACTTTCTACTTCTTGATAACAGCAGAGACGAGGCCCATCTTCTTCCCATTTTCTTTCTTTCCTTTCAGCATTTTGAGTAGCTGATTGAGAGAGCTCCATAGGGTTTTCAGTGGCTGATTTTTCTAAAGTAGATAAAAAAAAAAGGCTGTTCTTCTGAGAGGCCTCTGGGTGGATTGGAACTGCCAATCTTTCTGTTAATAGCTGAGTGTTTAACTGTTTGCACCACCCATGAACTCCTTGGCACATACTAGCCTCAGTAATTTTTTGATTGAAACATGGTAGTTATCAGGTGGTAGCATTGAAGGTGGTAAGTAATTGATTCTAGCTCCATGTATTTTGAAAGTAGAACCCAAAATAGTAATGGAGGAGGGATGTAGTCTCTGGAAGAATGAAGTCAAGGATGATTGTAACATTTTTGGCTTGGTCAATTTGTAGGAAGAAGTTGCCATTAAACTGCGATGCAAAGACTGGGTAGAGCAGGTTTGTTGTTGTTAGGTGCTGGTGAGCCGGCTCTGACTCATAGTGACCCTAAGTACAACAGAATGAAACACTGCCCAATCCTGTGCCATCCTCACATTTGGTGTTATGTTTGAGCCCATTGTTGCAGCCACTGTGTTAGTCCATCTTCCTGAGGGGCTTTCTCTTTTTTGCTGGCTCTCTCTCTGCTTTACCAAGCATGCTGTCCCCCTCCCAATAACATGTCCAAAGGACAGGAGCCAGAGTTGCCTTCCTCGCCTCCAGGAGCACTCTGGCTATACTTCTTCCAAGACAGACTTGCTCATTCCAGGTTTAGAGGGGAACATACAAAGTCCGGTAAGTGGAGAGGTCTAGGAGTTTCTCAGGGAAGAAGGAATGATGTGTGGTCAGATCCATGTGACAGGCCAAGTACAATAAGGACTGATAACTACTGCTGGATTTAGCAACATGGAGATCCTTGGTGACCTTGGCAAGATTAGTTTCAGTGAAACTGAGGATGAAAGCCTGTTTATTTTCAGGTGGTTTTAAGAAAGAATGGGAGAATTGGAGACAGTAGAGAAAACTTATGAGGAGTTTTGTCATAAAGAGGAACATAAAACTGGTGTATTTGCTGGTGCAGTATGTAGTATTAAGTTTTTGTTTTTAAGTGGGAGGGAAAAAATGCCTTGTTCGTATGCAGGTAGGAATGATCCTGTTGAGAAGGCAGAAGTTGCTGGTTTAAGAGAAGGGGAATGCAAGAAGGATGGGCTCTAGTGCACAGATGGAAGGGTTGGTTTTACCTGGGAGCATGGATAGCTGTATAGGTGCAAGATAAGTTCTTGAAATTTTTTTTACTTGAACCTTTTTTTTTTAATAGAGATAGTTGCCTCAGACTAGTTATATTCATTTAAACCTGTTTGTAGCATCTCTGTTAACTTTTCCAAAGTAAATTCATTTTCTCTATATCTATATTGTGCTTTACAAAATATTTATAGCTAACAAGACTTGTGATGTAATCTTTCATTTTTTATTTACAGTATAGATTGTTTTTAGACATGTATTTGCAAATTTCAGATCCAGGCCAGCTTTGTATACCCACTAACAAAGCTTTCCTCTCTGGTGCTTTATTTTAGATTCAAAGACACTATTATCAATGCCAAGTATGGAGGGCACACGGAGGCAGTGCGCCGGCTACTGGGGCAGCTCCCTATCAGTGCCCAGTCCTACAGTGGGAGCCCCTACCTTGATTTGTCTCTCTTCAGCTATGATGACAAGTGGGTGTCAGTCATGGAGCGGCCCAAGACTTGTGGAGATCACCCTATCAGGTACACCATCACTGCTACAACTACAGCTGCTTCAGGGCTGAAGATAGCCTGCTTTTTCTTTTTCTGCCTGAACACCATTTCATTGTGACTCTCTCCACTTGTAGTCATGGTTGGCTTAAAAGGGAAGGCTATTTCTGTAATGTGGTGAATGCTTTGGTCATTTAAGTACTAATCTCATAGATTAACCAGTGCTACTTTTTCTTCTCATCAAAGCATCCAATTTAAGTAAGTGTTGTCCTCTTTAAAGGTATCTAGGGAGAAAAATAATACTTTTACATTTAATAATCTAATACCACTCCATAATAGTTTTTGTAGTTGACACTTTTTATTATGTCTAACTTAAATTAATTTATCCCCCTGTTACTAGTAGAAAAGATACCAGAGGCAGTTTGGGAAATAAGCAGGTTTAGGAAAAACCTTTGTTTCCTCACTTTGAGGAATTTTAGAATATAAATTACTATGTTTATCACTGGAACCTTGAAACTAACCTCTTATAAGCAATCCCTCCCTTACAGATATGCAGTCCATAGACCCACCTGTCTCTGCCAGGTCTGCAGCCTGTGTTGTTCCTTGTGCTCTAACAGGTACTAAACTCACTGCCATCGAGTTGAATCTGACTCATAGAGACCCTTTCTTGGGTTTCCGAGGTGGTATCTTTACAGAAGTAGGTTGCCCAGTCTTCCTTCTGAGGAGTGCCTGGTGGGTTTGAACCACCATCCTTCTAGTTAGCAGTCAAGTGCCTTAGGCAATATGCCACCAGAGCTCCTTAATAGGTACTAGAGAGAGGAGCTAGTACCCCTGCCACTAGTAGGATTGCTCCAAAAGAAAGCTGTTTTCCTGGAGCCCTGAGCTAGAGTTGGGAAGTTTCTTCACATAGAAACAATGGTAGTTAGATCTTTGTAGTAGTAGTAGTATCATAATCCAGCTTCAATGTGTCTTAAATGGATGTGTGTAACATTCTTTTATAATTAGTTGTCATCCATATTTCCTTTAGGAAATTGCAGTCAAGTTCCCAAAACTGATTTTTAAAAATTTTTTATTATGGAAAAGTTAAAACATATACAAAAAATAATCATATAATGAATCCGCATGCACCCATTACCTGGCTTCAACAGTTATCAATACATTTCAGTCTTGTTTCATCTAGACCTACCACCACCACCACTACTGTCTTCTCCCCAATTATTTTGAAGCTGATCTAAGATGTCATATGAAACTTCAATACCATTATCCGATCTTTAAAAAAAAATGTATTAATACCACCAAATATCTAATCAGTGTCCACAATACCATTATCTCATGACCAAAAATTTAGTATTACAGTGAAACCTGTGAGAGCCAGAACTCAGTGGGACTGCCTTGTTTTTTCAGGGCTCACAAATTTTCTGCCTTTGAAGGGTTCTTACCACTTTTCATCGCTCTCTCTTAGTGGAAAAGATTTGAGCTTTCCTTCTCTGATAGGTTTTCATCTTTCAGAGGTTCCAGCTTTCACAGGTTTTACTGTATCATCAAATACCTAGTCAATATACATTTCCCCATTGTCTTGTAAATATTCTTTTTACAGTTGGTTTGTTTGAATCAGGACATAAATGTTACCTAAAAGCAGGTCTGTGCCCAATGCAACTCTAGCCAATTATGAACCACATGGAGGTGAGGAAAAGAGAAGACTTTATTCTTTAGCATACTAAGGGAGACAGAGAGGTACTCCACCTCAGATTCTGTCTGTCCTCGAGGTACAGCTTGCTGGTTTTATGGGTTGTTGAGCCAAGAAGGTCTATTCTCCAAGGGGTTCTTCCCTTTCAGAGGTCCTTTCCTCCCATTATCTTGTCTGAGAGTGGTTGCTAATAAAGAAGCCTGCTCTTTCATCTTCTGACATTCCTTTCTTTTCTGTGTCTGCTCTTTATTAGTATATACTTCAGTGGGCATTTTTACTATCTGAGAAATTTCCATTCCCACACTTCTTTTGACTTTCTATAGATTTCTCTTAATATCTAGAGCACTTTGTTCTATAAAAATAATATTGACCATTCATGTATTCTCTGGACCCTCCGAATCTGAATCCGTAAATTGATTCCAGAAAGGCTAACAGGTCTTCTTCTGGTTTCTGCTTAACGTTATCAGGCAAATTGTTTTTCAACTTAGAAAGGTCAGAAGTGTAAATGGGCTATGAATCCAAAGCATTTGGGCCAGCTCCCCTCTAGCTGCGTCCTCTGGGTTTAGCATGGGAGCTTGCCTAAGCAGGTAAAGCCCTGCTGATTTTCTTACTGTCTTTGGTCTGAAGAAGGTGCCACTCTGAGTATGTGGTGGAGAGAAACCCTACACCAGAGGAGCCTTCTGAGGCTGACAAAAGGTTTACAGGGGCCCTAGGTGGAGCAAAAGGAGGAGGATGAGACAGTCCCACAGAATAACTTTCCTTACCTTCCTCCTGTTCTGCATCATTTAAAATTGAAGGTTTAGGGTCCTTTTGTACCGTAATTTCACATTGTTTCTGCAAATCTTTATTTTACCATAAAAGGATGTAAAAGTTTCTATGTAGAATTTTCATCCCATTTTCCTTCTCTTGTACAAAGCAAATCTAGCTGCAGAATAAAATTATAATTTATAGATTCATTTACTGGCCAGGTTTCATAATCTCTTACTTTATACTGAAACCAAGCAGTATTACAAAAGAATTTCATTTTAGACCTCTTTATAGAGTCACTTTCAAAATAAGACCAATGCTTAAGGATTCACCCTAATGAGCTACATTCTGGAATCTGACTCTGCACCAACCATTATTGTAAGAACACATTCATTGTATCAACTTTTAAAGCTTCACAGGCTAAGTCTCCCCTGTCTACACTTTAAGCCACAACATTGAACCAGATAGGATTTCTCTCTTAACTCACTGAAGGGACCCAAGTCCCTCTTCCCAAGGCAAACAGGAAAGCCATTTCCTTCTCCTCACTGTGAGTGTTGCCTTTGGGTCTGAGATCTGCTCTGACTTCAAGGACTGAGGACTTAACCCCTGAAGAAAAAATTCCATGTACTGGAATCAGTTATTGGCTTCTGTCAGTCAGAGGAACCAGGAGAGGTGAAAATGCAAGGTCCCATCTGTGTTGTCTGCAGTTGTTACCTAAAAGCAGGTCCATGTCTGGTAGGATTCTAACGAATTATGAACTACACTGATATGAGGGAAAGAGGGTTTTATTCTAAGGGAGACAGAGAGATATTCCATTTCAGGTTCTAACTGTCCTCTGGATGCAGCTGCTGTTTTTAATAGGTTGTTGAGCCAAGGTGATGTTATTACAGGGTTAGATACATTTTAAACATACATAAACATGTAAGCATGCACAGTTGGAAAAAGTTACAACATCTTCTCATTCTCATGTAAGCATCTTTTATTATTATATCAACTCTCTACCCAGGAGCTTGATTTTTACCATGCTAGCGTAACTTTTTACCTACTTGGCTTGCTCAAGCCATGAAAGGTAATCTCTAGCAAAGAACAAGAATTGCATCTTTTTTTTTTTTTTTACCAGAAACAACAGAGAACATGATGTTTATCAGTAATTTTGAATGCCTGGGGGTTGGTCTCATAAACAGGTCCATATATTGCATTTGGTCACTATTCCTCTTAAGTCTCTGTTTTACCATAGATCTGCCTTCCTTTTTTATTTTTCCTTACAGTGAAATTGTTGAAGGAAGCAAGTTGTTTGTCCTGTAACATTTTCTGTTGTATATCTGGGGTGGTATCTACCATGTTTCTCAGTCCCCCAGATTTTCTATCAACTGGTAGTTAAATTTAGAAGCTCAAACAACTGACTTTTAAATTACAAGCCATTTGTGTTCTGGGAACTACATGGGTAAGGTTACATAAAAGCATATATTATGGGCCTCATTTGATATAATCAAATTACATGAGATATATTTCCCTCCTTTCTGACTTCCCTGCCTTTCTGATTTGAAAAGGGTAACCAGAGTAACAAATCTGGAAATGCTATTGTAGTGAAATAGATTTTTCTTGTAATTCTTAATTTATTTTTAATTTAAAATAAGAAATGTAAAGATATTGATTTAAAGGCATTTGAAGAGGTACTGCCTGCCATTCATTACCTTTTTGTATGTTTCATTCTAGCCTTTGGCAGTATTCATAGTTGTTTATGTAAATGTAAGAGATTTACATTTACACTTGCAATCACAAGAAGCATAATATTTTGTAGTCTACTTTTATCACTTTGTATGATTTTATAAATATTTTCCATGTTGTTGTATAAACCCACTGCCATCAAGTTGATTCCAACTCATAGTGACCCCATTGAACAGAATAACTGCCCCATAGGGTTTCCAACGCTGTAAATCTTTACAGAAGCAGATTACCACATCATTTTCCAGTGGAGCAGCTGGTAGATTTGAACTGCTAACTTCTGTTAGCAGCTGTGGTTGTTGTTGTTATGTGCCATCGAGTCGGCCCCGACTCATAGCGACCCCTCCTTGGGTTTCCGAGGCAGTATCACTGCGGAAGTAGGATTGCCCAACCTTCCTTCCGAGGAGTGGCTGGTGGGTTTGAACCGCCAGCCTTCTGGTTAGCAGTCAAGTGCTTTAGCCACTATGCTACCAGAGCAGCTGTGGTAGTTAAGGTTATATGTCAAGTTGGCTGGGACTGGTTTTGAGTGGCTGGGCAGCAGGATATAGTTATTCCTCATGTTAAGACTAGTAATCGACTCCATGGTAGAATCTACTGGAGCAGCTGAGTAGCTGCCTTAGGGATGTGGTCTGTTTCCAGTATATAAGAAGAAGTTTTGAGAAAGATCTCTGAGTTTTTATGACACATCTGGATCCAGCATTTGGCCAAGTCTTTGTCTCAGTGGCATGCCATGTTGTCTGCCAACCTTGAGACTGTTTCTGAACTTGAACTAGTGGCCTGCCGTGTTGCTTGCTAATTTTGGGACTATGCCATTTTACTTGTTGACCTTGGGTTTGTTAGCCTTAGCAGCCAGCAGCTGCTTGAGTTAAGAGACTTCTCCAGCTCCAGTGGGCCAGGAGCAAGAGGCAGAGTTGAAGCCCAACGTCAAGGGGCGTTCACCCAGCTCCTATAGCTGGCACGTTGAACTCAGATTTCTAGCCTCCTAAACTGTAAGAGAATAAATCCCTATTTGTTAAAGCCATTCCATTTGTGGTATTTTCTGTTAGAATGGCACTAGATAACCAAACAGCAGCCAAACACTTGAAACACTGCACCATCAGTACTCCTTTGTTGTTACACAGTCCTCACAATTACAGTCCTCGTGATGGCATATTACTCCAACACATAGACGTACCATGATTTATTTAGCCATTCCCTTACTTGTGAGCATTTCTGTTTCTGCATTTTTACATTAGAACTTATGTTGTCTTCATGCATGTGACTATTTACTTTGTTTAAATTGAAGTCTGAGTATATAAATTCTTGGAAATGGGATTATTTTATCAAAGGCTATGAATATCTTTTTGTCTGTTTGCTTTACAGAGGGAAATTATAAAGCTGTTAAATCCAGGGCACATCATTTTCTAGAACTGCCTTCCCCCACTCAACTTCTACCTGAAAACCTAAAACCCTAAAAACCCCATCTCTAAAACCCAGTGCTGTTAGAGTTGATTCTGACTCATAGTGACCCTCTTTAAAAGAAACCAAAAAAACCACTGTGATTGAGTCAATTTTGACTCATAGTAACCCCTATTGGGTTTCCAAGGCTGTAAATCTTTATGGAAGTTGACCACCTCATCCTTCTTCCACAGAGTGGCTAGTGGATTTGAACCACTGACCTTTTGGTCAACAGTCACACACCTTAACCACTACACCACCAGAGAGCTCCTTAGTGACCCTCTTTAAAAAAAAAAAAAAAATACTCACTGCCATTGAGTTGATTCTGACTCACAGTGACCCCGTTGGGTTTCTGAGGTGATAAATCTTTATGGAAGTAGATTGCCCCATCTGGTGGTTTGAACTGTCTGCCTTGTGGTTAGCAGTCAGATGCCTTCTGCACTGCACCACCAGGGCTCCTTAATGACTCCAGTGGTGGTTATTTTGCACATGGGTAAAGGTACTTAAGTACTGAAATGGATGAAAGCATCTTTATTCTTACTATATTAGATGATTTTTTTAAACTAGGCAGTATTTTGTTTTTTATGTGAGAAAGAAGAATCTCTCAAAACGACTGTATTCTTAAAAATCAAAAACTCATTGATGAGCCTAGACCTGCACTGTCCTACAGCTGCACTGTCCTGTATGTGGCAATTGAGCACTTAACATGTGGCTTGTCCATGTTGAAAGGTAGGAAAGGTAGTGTCAAATGCCTGGATTTCAAAGACTTACTCTGAAAAAAAGGATAAGAAATGTCTCATTAATATATATTGGTTATATGTTAAAATGATAATATTTACAAAAATTATTAAAATTAATTTCACCTTTTCTTTTTTCTTTCTTAAATGTGGTTACCTGAAAATTTTAAATTGCATACGTGGCTTGCACTGTATTTCTAGCCCTAATCCAGACAGTCTTGAGACAGTAGCTTCTGCAAGAGGCTGGACTATAACTAAGGGTCATGTGGACAAAGAAATGACCCAATAACTCAGTGCAACCTAGTCAGGTTCCTAATCACACTTGGCCCTAAAATTAGCTGATTAGACCAAGGTGACTTTCCATTTTCAGTAATAACATGAGGCTAATGTGAGAGGAGATTTCATTAATAAGGCATAATAATGAGCTGCCAGCTTTCCTTTGCTGTCCAGATTTAAAGGTAGTAGTGAATATTAATACCATTCTCTCTCCCTCCTTCCCTCCCTCCCTCCCTGTTCTTCCTCTTCTGTGTAGGTTCTACGCCCGAGACTCTGGTCTGCTCAAGTTTGAGATCCAGGCAGGCTTACTGGGCCGCCCCATCAACCACACAGTGCGACGCCTTGTTGCCTTCACTTTTCACCCTTTTGAGCCTTTTGCCATTTCTGTACAGAGGACTAATGCTGAGTATGTTGTCAACTTCCACATGCGACACTGCTGCACATAGGTGCTTCACCAAAGCCAGGTTATTATCTGGTCTTCCAAGACTTTGCCTCCCTCTTACTCAGTCAATTCCAAAGCAAAAGCCTCTGACCACCAGCACTGTTCCTGTGATTCCAGACTGGTATGCCTCAAATGAGACCGAGCAGAAGAGGTGTCAGGGTTAGGGGTGGGAGACGGATCAGTGTAACTGAATGGTTTTTTATTGTATACAATCTAGTCACTGATGGACTTCAAGTCCTCTTGCCTTTTCCCTGTGGGAATGCCTAGCATTAATTAAGTTCATTTAACTTTTGTTTTATTTTGTGTTTTATTGCTGTGAGAAGAGAGCATTACACCTTACCCTTCCTATCACTTCTTTGGCATTGTGGTATGCAGCCTAAAGCAGATAGATCTTGTTTACTCATGAGATCTATATACATTCTTTCTACTTAGCCAACAAGCAGTGCCATCTTTAATAGCAAAAAAAGAAAAATAAAACCTTGTTATTTTCTTACTTAAATTAGCCTGTTTGATGACTACCTTATGTTTTGAGCACACCAAATGCTTTTCAAATACTTGGATTCCAGGAAGGACTGTGAAAGAGACTAGAGGCCATGGATACAGCATTTGCTCCTGGGAGAACTACATGGCATGTGCCAGCATGGAAGACGGTTATTTGCCAAGATAGTTTCCTTCCCTAGAGTGTTCTCCTGATAATTGTTACAGCTAGAGGAACTAGGCATAATTGTACAGTCTCATGTGGAAGCATGCTCCCATCTGTGCCATCTGTGCTGTGCAGGTGGAAGAGTGAGCAGCTCTCTTTGGCCATAGCAGAAACAAATACTGTATAGCACGAACAGTAATTTGGGTGATGGGAGCTGGCAAGCTCCAGGTGTCCCTAAAGAGATTATGCTAGCTGTTCCTGGGTGGCTGAGCCATCACAGCTATCCTACAAACATCTGCCATCCCCCAGCCTGCATCTTTCTGTCATATTCTCCACTGGTCTCCAGAGAGCTTATTAGACTGTTTCTGTTTCTTCTTTGTAATGTATCTACCATGCAGATAGTAAATGTCTTTTGTGACCTTTGATTTGGAAGTAGCTTTGAAATCTTGGGGTCCAGGAGGCTGTGAATAGGGCCATGGGTGCAAATAGCTGGATTTTAAATTCCCTTTACCATCCAGACTGAGTCCTTTGGGACCTTAGGAAGTGGGATATGAGATACTGAGCCCCATCAATAATAGTTCTGTTCATTTCATAATTCTCAACATCTAAATTAATGCTCGTTTAGCAGTCAACGTGTAGAATTTGAGCACCTTCTGAGTTAGGTAGACACTGTGTGTTATGGATTGAATTATGTCCCCCCAGAATAATTGACAACTTGGCTAGGCTATGATTCTCAGTATTATATAATTATCTTCCATTTTGTGATTCGATGTAATTATACTCCATTTTGTGGTCTGATATAATTATCCTATGTATTGTAAATCCTAACCTGTATGATGTTAATGAGGTAGGATGCAATCCATAGGATTAGGTTGTATCTTGAGTCAATCTCCTTTGAGATAAAAACAGAGATTAAACAAGCAGAGAAAGAGAGACCTACCACTACCAAGAAAGAAGAGCTGGGAGTGGAGTCCTTTGGGCCTGGGTTTCCTGTATTGAGAACCTTCTAGACCCAGGAGAAGATTGATGCCAAGACATGTGGAGATCTCCAAGGAATGCCAGGCCCACAGACACTGAAAGGAGACAAGGATCTTCCAGAGCTGACAGAAAGCCTTCTCCTAGAGCCAGAGCTCTGAATTCAGACTTCTAGCCTAAATGATGACAGAATAAATTTCTGTTTTTTAAAGCCTTCTAATTATGGTATCTCTGTTATGGCAGCACTAGATAACACTGTATTAAAGTACTAAGGATGAGGAGCAAAATAGGAAAAATTATATTAAAAACAATAAAAGCTGTGATACCTTTGCAGCATAGTTTAGGAGGATTGAGGGGAGGCAGAGAGGAAAGATGTGTTAGGGAAATGGCATTGGAACTGGATAACTAGGAGCATGTCATGTGGACCAGGTTGGAGGGCATTTCAAGGAGAGGCTCAGCATGTGCAAAGGCATAGGAGCATGAAGGGAACTGTCAAGGTTGTTGGATGGCAGATAATCTAATATGGTGAGAACAGAAGCTGCAAGGGGGCTGGGGCATTGTGGCTGAGCTGGTAAGCTGAGAGGCTATTGTGAAGAGAGGCCTTGTGCATGATGCTAGGAATTTCACAAAGATAACTTCCAGCATTTTGGATGATGGTTTGGAAGGAATAAATAAAGGCCAGAGAAGTCTATTGTAATCCAGAGGAGAATGAGAGAGCCTGAACCATGTCACTGAACATTTGGAGGGATGAAATACTGAGCAGTCTCCTGTATTTTAGGTCATGAAGAACGTTGTTGTGAGGTGCTGTCAAGTCATTTCCAACTCCTAGTGACTCTGTGTACAACAAATGAAAAACTATCCAGTTCTGCACCATCCTTATAATCATTGGTATGTTTGAGCCCATTGTTGCACCCTCTGTGTCAGTCTATCTCAAGGGTTTTCATTTTTTTTTTTTTTTTTTTGCTGACCCTCTGCTTTACTAAGCATGATGTTCTTCTTCAGGAACTGGTCCCTCCGGATAACATGTCCAAAGTATGTGAGATGAAGTCTCGTCATCCTTGCTTCTAAGGAGCATTCTGGCTGTCCTTCCAAGAAAAATTCATTCTTCTGGCAGTCCATGGTATATTCAGTATTCTTTAATAACAGTATAACTCAAAGACATTAATTCTTCAATCTTCCTTAATCATTGCTCATATTTTATATGCATATGAGGCAATTGAAAATACCATGGCTTGGGTCAGGTGCACCTTAGTCCTCAAAGTGACATCTTTGCTTTTTGATACTTTAAAGAGGTCCTTTGCAGCACATTTGCCCAATGCAATGCATTGTTTGATTTCTTGACTGCTGCTTCCATGGGCATTGATTGTGGTTGCAAGTAAAATGAAATCCTTGACAATGTCAATCTTTTCTTCATTTATCATGATGTTACTTACTGGTCCATTTGTGAAGATTTTTGTTTCCTTTATGATGAGATATAATCTATACTGAAGATGGTAGTCTTTGATATTCATTAGTAAGTGCTTCAAGTCCTTCTCACTTTTCAGCAAGCAAGGTTGTTTCATGTGCAGTTAGCAGGTTGTTAACCAGTCTTCCTCCAGTCCCAATGCTGTGGTGTTCTTCATATAGTCTAGCTTCTCAGATTATTCGCTCAGCATAGAGATTGTGTAAGTATGATGAAATGATACCCTGGCACACACCATTCCTGATTTTAAACCACATGGTATTCCCCCATTGTTTGAGCGACTGCCTCTTGGTCTATGTTCAGGATTATTTGTTCTGGAGTTCCCTTTCTTTGCCGTGTTATCCATAATTTGTTATGATCCACACTGTTGAATGGCTTTGCATAGTCAGTAGAACATAGATAAACATCTTTGTGGTATTCTCTATTTTCAGTGAAGGTTCAGCAGTGGTATCCCTCATTCCACATCCTCTTCTGAATCCAACTTCAATTTCTTTGAAATCTTTTGTTCAGCTCTTTTACTTTATCTGTTCACCTTAGCTACTGTGTGTTTAAGAGCAAATTTCAGAGTCTCTTCTGACATTCATTTAAGTCTTTTCTTTCTTTCCTTTTTAATGATCTTTTGTTTTCTTCATGTATGATGTCCTTGATACCATCCTACAGTTCGTCTGGTCTTCGTCCACTGGTGTTCGATGTGTCAAATGTATTCTTGAGATGGTCTCTAAATTCAGGTGGGATATACTCAAGGCCATACTTTGGCTTTCGTGGACTTGTTTTAATTTTCTTCAGCTTCAACATGAACTTGCATATGACCAACTGATGGTCTGTTCTGTAGTCAGCCCTGGGCCTTGCTCTGACTGATGATACTGAACTTCTCTATTGTCTATTTCCACAGATGTAGTTGATTTGATTCCTGTGTATTCCATCTGGAGAGGTCCACATATATGTTGCCATTTATGTTGTTGAAAAATGGTATTTCCAAATGAATAGGTTGTTGGTCTTAAAATTCTGTCATGGGCTCTTTGGCATCATTTCTCTCACCAAGGCCATGTTGTCCAACTTTCACATTCCAATCACCGATAAGTATCAATGTGTATTGATTACATATTTGATCAATTTCAGACTGCAGAAGTTAGTAAAAATCATCAATTTCTTCATCTTTGGTAATAATGGTTGGTGTGTAAATTTGAGAACAATAGTCATATTACTGGTCTTCCTGGTAGGCATATGAATATCATCCTATCACTGATAGTGTTGTACTTCAGGATAGATATTGAAATGTTCTTTTTGCCAAGGAATGAGACACCATTCTGCTTCAATCTTACATTCCCAGCATAGTAGACCATATGTTTATCTGATTCAAAATGGCCAGTACCAGTCCATTTCAGCTCACTAATGCCTAGAATATTGATGCTTATGCATTCCATTCCATTTTTGATGACTTCCAGTTTTCCTAGATTCATACTTCGTGCATTCCATGTTCTGACTCCTAATGGATGTTTGCAGCTGTTTCTTCTCATTTTGAGTTGTGCCACATCAGCAAATGAAGGCCCCGAAAGCTTATTTCATCCATGTCATTAAGGTTGACTCTACTTTGAAGATCCTGATCTTCCCCAGTCGTATTATGAGTGCCTTCCAATCTGCCGGGCTCATCTTCTGGTACTGTATCAGACAGTGTTCCATTGCTTTTCCTAAGGTTTTCACTGGCCAGTTTTCTTAGAAGTAGATAGCCAGATCCTTCTTCCTAGTCTGTCTCAGTATGGAAGCTCCACTGAAACCTACACCATGGGTGAACCTGCTAGTACTTGAATACCAGTGGCATAGCTTCCACCATCACAGCAACACACAAGCCCCCAAAGCAGGATAAAGTGACTGATGAGTGGTGGTCATGAAGAATACAGGACCCCATAGCTTGGTCGATTTTGTATTCTACTAATATGCTACTAATTAACCCCAGGAGAAATTTTTTCAGCCCCGAGTTTGTGAGGCAGACCCTACCTTTTTAGTAGAAGTACTTTACCTTTCTTCTTTCAAATATGTTGCTTGATGGTACCTATAGATTTGGCATAATGGAAAGAGTGTGAAGTTGCTCAGACCTAGGTGAATCCTGGCTCTTCCTGCTCATGAACTGTGTGGTTCTGAGAAGATTTTCTAGTCTTTCTGAGGCTTAGTTGGTAATTCTCTCTCCCTTAGTCTCACATTCCCTTGGTCGTGGTTTAAATCTTTTCATCCCTTCTAAGTGTCCCATCTCCAATGTCTCCATTTCATATACCCCATTCTGACCTCTACCTTGTAGCCCTTCCTCATACTCACTTTAGTACCCCAACTACACACAAGACTCCAACCCACTCTTCCAACCTGGTTTGATTAGGGTAAAGTTAAACTGCTATAACTGAAAGACTCTACAATGCAGTGACTC